CAGTAGTTGCTGCAGGGTAGATCTTCCAGCTAAGAACCCAAACTGAGAACTGGAAAATGCCTAAAACCACACCCTATTGTATTTCAAAAACTACAGCACAAAAATTTGTTAATTTTAATTAATATGTACCTACACAACTATTTCTACTACACATAACACTCTATGGGGGTTTATTTTAATTAGTGTCACACAATTAGATATGTAATGATGAGTCACTCAATAATTGCTAAACATGAATTTTGCTGATTTCGCTAAAATTAGTAGACGCAAATAATAGTAGGCTTAAGATATCAGGATTGTTTTTAAAAACACAGCACAATTTACCAAAAAAATTTTAACTTTGATTAATAATGTTTACAATTATTTCTACAACACACAATACTTTATGGGGGTTTATTTTAATTAGTGTCACACAATATGAAATGATCAATAATAGTAAACATGATGTCTGCATAATGTAGGAGAAACAACAAAATACATTACCATATGTGCAATACCCATGTTTACTGTGCTGCAATTGCTACAGAATTTTCGTATGTCATTTCTTTCTGCAAATTATCCATTTCCATGTAAATAGCAGTATCATCATAAATCTCTTCACCAATATTATGCGGAGGTATAGGTAGAGGAAGTGACTGGTTTTTATCAAGTATACCAGATCTAACTGCTTTTCTACGACCTCCGTAATCATTAACATTACTAAAAATTACCCCTGGTACATTTGTTGCCGACGTTGTCATTCCTTGTTGTCTTCTGGTACTTCTTCCACAGAAAACCCACCCACAGTGCCAACGACACCGAGAATGACAAGTATAACATAGCCCATTACACCTCCAACAACTACACTTGAGTTCAACGAGGACTGGTTTGGTTGTGTTGTTGGTAGTATAACTGCAGAACATGGCAAGGTCTTCTCAACCGTTATTGTTATTTTAGATAGTGAAGGGCTTTCATTTATAACTGAAGCACTTGTTGCAGTTGTTAGCGTGCTTGTGCGAATAGATGTAACTGTAACTGGCTCAGAAAATGTACGAGCTTGCATTGATATTGTAGTAATGGATGATGTAACTGTAATTGGCTGAGAGGACACACAAGCTTGAGATGATATTGTAGGAATGGATGTTATGTATACAGTTGAAACATGATCACTACTCATGCGATTGATTTGTGTTGTAGTAGCATAAGAAATTTGAGGATTATAGGTAACAGTAATAACAGATGGCTCTATTGTTAGATTGATGTTTGATTTATCAATAGCAAGTCTCCCTAATATGACAGCATTATTTTGGTTGTATACCAGAGAGAAAGGAAGATGAGAGAGATTAAGAGTTGCACTGTAGCTTCCACTGTAATTATAGAAATCAAAGCGAGTGACATTTAAAGCTTCACCTGTGGTTCAAAGATGTATAATTTATGTAAAAAGTATTTGTCTGTACCTGATAAACTTTCAACTTGCAACTGAACAGTTGATACTTCATGATTTACTTCATGCAGGGCTGAACAGTGAACATTACTTCATGCAGGGCTGAACAGTGACTATGTAGACAGCTGCTATAGCCTGGGAAATCATAGCTAGACAACCCTGTAGGTAAAGTAAACAGATTCCCTCTAACTACATGAACCTCACAAAGGCTTGACTGGTGGTCAATTTTGATCCTCCTACTTGAATTCTGCACACATTAAAAATAATGTGTACAGAATGTAAGTAGGAGGATCTATACTAGGCACTATATATACTTAAAATAATAGAAGCAACGCACTATCTCCATTTGCTTGTTAGCAGTCATGGCTTTCTTTGTCAGCAAAGAGTTTGCTGATGCAAGTGATTTCATTCAATTTCTGATGCAAGTA